CAATAGACAAGACTAACCTCAATTTTCATGTTATCTTTTTTATCATGACTTTAATATGTTATGGTTATTTGAAAATTATGTTTCAACTTTGAACACATTTACTACAATTCATTATGCAATGTAATTTTTTTTTTATTAATTAAAAATAGTAATAAAAAATGAATAAATTATATAAATATAAAAAAAATCATAATTTAAAAGCAATTAAAAATTATAAATCATATAACACGCGCATCACACGCGCACTTTAATAGTGTGGATATATATATACACAAACAATAGAATAACTTAGACATGATACATGGATATCCGTATCCATCATAAACAATATGCTTATGATATTTAATAAACTTAGAAGTTAGAAGTACTAGTAGTTAAAACAAAAATTGTTTCATCAACAATATTTCAGTGGAGCACGTCCTATCATAAAGATGGTTATACCAAAGCCGAGATTGATGTTGACCTCTGTTACATTTCTTGGCACACAAATAATGGATCCAGAAATCACAGTTGAAGTAATAAAAGTTCATCTCATCGACAAAGCCGTTGACTGTTGTGTTGCAGTAACCACACCTCCGATTCCCGACCATGAGCATCCGAGTTAAAGCCACCGGGTGGTCTGGGTGGCAAGTGTCGTTCCAAACTTGATTTTAGACAAAAGCCCGACTGACGGTACGCATTTAATGTGGAAGGATTGCACGCACTTGGTACAATGATAGAACCAATATTGTTGGTCGATATCTTGTTCGCATACCTCACAAATGCACATATCTCGTTTGGACCACATGTTGTCGGGAAATATTAGTTCTACTGGATGCTTATCGAATTTAATATGGCTCACCGTTTTAGGTAGAAATGCACACACAACATGTATTCTGAACGGGCAACTGATGCATGCATATGCCGAAGAAGGCATGGGAGCGAAAGGCCAAAGTTCACGACAACAAATGAATTTTGTACGCTCCTCAAATATGTCGTCTTGGAAAAGAAAATGATTTTGTTGGTCGTGTGATGCATGTGTTATGGTAAGTGGGGCGGAAGCACATTCTAAATCGACCATTGTGAAGTGAGTTTTAAAGCCAAATCCATTGCAAGGGCGGAAACACATGTGGCATGGGAATGTGGAATGAAAGAATCCCTTTACCACAGGGTGAAGAGATATATTGACCTTGAAAAACCAAGTCTGCTTGGTAGGAATATTCGAACAAAAATCATGGAGAAGAAAATGACAGTCGGGTGTAACACATTCCCAAAAGGGAGGTGAAATAATGGGTTGTATGCACTCGTCACACACCGCGCCTTGGTCTAAACAACATGAATATGACCTTAATCCTAACGCTTCTAAGGTACTATTACTACTACTACAACTGGCATGTTCATGGTCACTATTAATGATGTCATGAAAGGTCAAAGGATGGTTGTGATACATTTCTTTTTGGCCACATTTCGTTTCCACCCTCGACTGTTTTTGGAGATTGTTTATTGGCGGCGAGGTTACGGAAGGTCAAACTTGAATACAGATACTCGCCTTCATGGTGCAGCAAGTGGATTACTAGCCCTGTTTCTACATTGATAAAAATTATATATATATATTCGCAAAGTATATAATGACTTGATACGAGTGACAAGTTTTATTTAATTAATTAACCAATCAATCAATTAATTACCTGTGGGCTTAAAATCTCCCATCTTTGACGCTACACACCGCAAATGAGCATAGTAATCATATTTCTCAGCACACAGATACATCCTTTTGCCGCAGAAATGTTTGTGGCACACCCTACACACTTCAAATTTTTGAGTTTTAGAAGCGTAAGTGAGTATTAAATGGTGGTCATGTGAAGGTATTTTGACAATGCTCGGCAGCAAAAAGCACAATCTACATGTATCCAGAAGATGCATTCTCTGCACGCGAAGAAAAACCCTTCGTGTTTCTCGCTGCACGCATCATACGAGGACAGAGTCTCCTGGCTCAAAGCCACCAATGGATGGTCATTGTGGCTGTAGTGCTCGATTTTAATCTCCACTTTGACAACACACAGAGGATGGGCTATGTAATTCCAATTAAAATACTCTTTAGTAGAGATGATATTTGCGCATAACTTGCCACACCTTTGGCATGGATTATTGCGATTTGGATTGATTTTGAGGGAAAGAGGTTCGGAAGTGTAGGGGTAGTTCACATTATGTGGCAGCCGCGCACACGGCTCATGCAAGAAGAAATCGCAGCCGGTTATGCAAGTGTAGGAAGGGCTCGATAGAATTGGTAACTCACACACACTGCAGAACTCAGGCTTATTACTATGATATACATCTCTTTTTTTTTTTCCTTGGCCTCTCAAAATCAATTTGTGCTGCTCATGACCAATGTGCTCAATGATCGCCATTAATATATAGTTGGATATATAACAATATATTGTTTGAAGAATAATATGCTGCGTTTGTGTAATGGGACAAATTATATCAAACTTTGACTAATTGTGATTCCTGTGTATATAAATGACTATAAATATACTTAACTTACTATGTTAGCAAGGAATTACGTCAATTTGTGTTGCTCAGAACTCTTATTTCATTGTTAGAGAGTTTTTTGATGACCTTTCTAGGACTTATGTTGATGCCCGATCTAAATGTATATAAAAAAAAATATTGTTTATATAGTTTTTATAAATTACAAATTTAACCCATGGGACAAATTGAATATAAACAAAATATTGAAATTGCAATTGAGTCCTTGGAAATTATCAAATTCTTAACAACAAGCCCCCAAATTCAAAATCAAGGTTCACGTATGTCCGGTGATTCGACTGTGAAATCGCTCTATAACAGGAGGGCGGCTGCGCCAGATGATGTCACCGGAAGAGCCGAGTTTATTTTCGCTGTCGTTCAAAACCGCCGAGAGGAAGTATCGTGAACATGGTGAGCGGGGCCTCATCTGAACCGAGGATTGGCGCGTCTGGCAGGCGGCTACAGAGACGGCCCTCCGAGGCGGCGTATTGGAGTCGATGTTGGATCCCGTCGCCGGACGATTGCTGATCGTCGACGCTTCAGATCTAACAGAGAAGTACGAGCGGGATGCGCGGACTGACGACGGCAGATGGCGGGGGAATGAGGCTGGTAACGGCGATGGTCCGGTGTTTGTGTGAGAGAGAGTCACGTGTAAAGTGTGTGTACGGGGTGTGTGTGCAAGTTTAGTTGTGTGTGTGTGTGAGAGAGAGAGAGGGGGACAGGGTGGGAGATGGGATAGTGGCCACGTGGGAGCTATGTATTGGTGGTGTGTGAGTGGATAGTTGGTGTACGACCCGCTGGTTTATAATGAAATGTCTTAATTACCCTTAATGAAAGTATAATTTTGACTTTTTTAAGTCACTAGATCATCCGATCGATTGGCTACAGTTTATTCTTATTTGTTTCACTGAGCACCATTCTCGCTGGAGTGCGACTCTTATATAATAATCTATACAAATAGTGGATATAAAATATAGATACATTTATATCAATATTAAATGAATAAACTAATAACTATATTATAATCAATATTGATAAGACAAAATGACATTTTATAAGTTCATTTTTATTTTTCATATATAAGGCACATTTCATTGATAAGAATAACATTTATTTTTTATATTATTTAAGTTGTTATAAAATATATAACTTTGAGATGAGAGATAGCAATACTATAAATAAGACACTTTTCAATGACAGATAAATTTTTCATTAATAAATACCAAATTATGTAAAAAAGTCGTAAATAGGGTAAATTTTAGTAAAAAATAAAATTAGTCGTTGTTAATTGTTAAATTGCGATGAATTCGTCATAGTACATGTACATCTATATATATATATATATATATATATATATATATATATATATATA